TAGAAATTATTTTGAAAAGAGTGAAAACAGACCCTATCAGAACTTACGGGATTCAGGTTAAGGAGTATTTTAAGGAAAAGGGGGGAAGGTCAAAAATTAATGAAACAGAATGCAAACAAAAAAAGTTAATAAAACCAAAATTCATTTTTGGAAGAAGGTCACTAAATAATCCCCTCCCCAGATAAATCACTACAAAGCCTACAGACCTTTAAAAAGGGGTGGGGGCTATTCTAAACAATGCACAAAAATAAATTTTATGACATAGGTGAAATGAAGTTTCTTGAAAGGTAAGACTCTACCAAAATTCATTCGTTAAAAAAGATGAAAGTTCAATAGCTTTATAAGCTATTAAAATAAATTGAATTTGTAGTTTAAAAATCTTCCTAAAAAGAAAACTACAGATCTAGATGGCTTTACTGGTCAATCCTACTGTATATTCCAATTCCAAAGACATCAATTCTACAGTTCCTTCAGAAAGCAGGGGAGTAATTCTTAACTCATTTTATAAAGCCAGCATTACCCTGACGCAGAAATCAGACCATGACATTAGCAAGAAGAAATCTATACACAAATATTTCTTCATGACTATGGATACAAAAGCCTTAACAATATTTGAGCAAATTAAGACCTTAAAAATTTTAAAAGAATAAAATATAGCACAGTTAACTAAGTATTATCCCAGCAATGCAAGACAGGTTTAATTTTGAAAAACAATGTGATTCACTACATGAGCAGACAAAAAAGACAAAATGCTAAAACACCACATGGTCATCTCAACAAAATTTCATCAAATATCTGACAAATTTAAAAGAAAACGCTCATAACAAAACAAGAACAACTCAGCAAACTAAGATTCTTCCACAATCTATAAAGGCTATCTACAAAAAACCTACAACTAAACATTAACTATGGTGAAAGACTGAATGCCTTCTCTCTAAGATCAGTAACAAGAAAAGGATATCTGTACCAGTGCATTAAGTTATGAAAAGCATAAAGACTGGAGAGAAAAAGTTATACTATCTTAACCTGCATATGACATGACTGTTTATATACACACATCCTAAACAAAAACAAAAGACGTTATCAGAACTGATGAAGGAAGCATGGTCACAGAATACAAAGTCAATCTACAAAAATCAAATGTATTTCTATATTCTGGAAAGAACATGAAATTAGAAAATTAAAAAAAAATACCTCCATTTAGAAAATCATCAAAAATACAAAATACCTAAGGATGAAGTTAATAAAATATGTGTAAGGACTGAACAATGAAGACTGAAAAATAGCTAAAAGAATTAAAGATTGTCTAAAAACACAGAGATATTCACAAACCAGAAGACTCAGTGTTAAGATGACAATTTCTCCCATACTGAGCCGTAGAGAGAAAACAATTCCAATTAAAATCCCAGTATGATAATTAATAGAACTCAACAAGCTGGTTCTAAACTTTATATGGAAACAGAATCTTACTAAAAGCTCCAGACAAGAACTCAGGATGGCTGAAAACCTGGATAGTACAGTCTCATGCTGAACTTCTGACCTTCAGAACTATGAAATAATAAATAGATGCTGCTTTAAGTCACTAAGCAAACGGTATTTGTACCCAGCAATAGAAAATAACAACCAGACATCCAGTATATGTAGCTAAAAGTAAATTTATTTACATAATAAGTGTCAGTGAAGATGTGAATCAAATGAAAATTTTATATATTGCTGGTGGACTCAAAATAGTACAGCCATTTTAGAAGAAGTTTGATGAATTCTTTGGTACTAAGTTTAACATATTCAGAAATGAAAATATGTCCACAAAAAGATTTGTACACATGTCCATAGGAGCTTTATTATTAATAGACCAAATATGAAATATTCCAAATGTCCATCAACTGTCAAAAAGATAAACTGTAGTGTATCCAGACAATGAAGTACTCAGTAACAAATAGTGAAAGATTACTGATACAAACTATAAATTAATCTCAAAAGCAATATGCTAGGAAACCACATACAAGCAGCATGATTCCAATATCAATACTAAAAAAGTTAACTATAGTTAACTAAAGATTAGGAATTGCCAGAAGTAGGGGGTGAATGCAAATGTGCTGTCCCCTTTGTCCTTTAGGATAACAGGCTCTACATCTTGATTTTGCTTACAAAACTATATACATTTGTTAAGCACATTAACTGTACACTTGAAATGGGTTAATTTTACTATATGCAAATTATATCTCAATAAAGCCAATTTTTAATACTCTAAAGCTGATCTTTAAAATTCGCTAAGGAGTCTCAAATATAATGGAGTTGCTTCATAACATACAGACCTGTTTCTAGTTTAAAAAAAAAAAAAAAATCTCATTGCTTTTTTAAAATAGTAAGTTTCCTTTCATACTATCAATCACAACACAAAACTTATATTAATATTTCTTTTTAAGATACATATTTCCAAACAACAAATTACATATTTTCAGATTAATCTTGCAGTATGAGAAATGAGAAACTATTCAGATATAGTTTTTGTGACTCTTAAATTTTCATTCTTTACTAACCCTTCTCAGATTTAAACTCCATGAAGACAATCATTGTTTTACGATAGCCTTTGCCAGATTTAATACTATTCTAATTTAAAGAAGAATCTTATAAGTACACTATAAAAACCTAGACAGCCTTGGGCTTCCCCAGTGGCGCAGCGGTTGAGCGCTGGGCTGCGAAGCTGCCCGCAGCTCTGCAGCGCAGGTTCCATCCCCGGCCAACCCAGGTTCCATCCCTGGCCAACCGCCGAGGGTCCCACATGGCGGACAGACCTCCTGCCGCGCCCCACTGCTCCCTCAGCAGTGTGTTTCGTCAGTCTACCTGTTCTGTTCCCTGCTCTGGTGAATTCTCTCAACCTCCCGCACTTCTGACTGTACCCAGTGCTTGTAAAAATAAATAAATAAATCTTTAAAAAAAAACCAAAAAAAACCTAGACAGCCTTAAGGAATTTAGTTAAGTGGAATTTTAAGAATTAATGTATTTAAAAATATGGTTAGATTAAGGTATGATAGGACACTCAATAAATCCTTAAAAGTACAGTTATTGAAAAACTTTAGATTTTCACTTTCTGGATTCTTACTTTTCCTAACGAGTATCTAATTAAGCATCTTGATTGATATACAATTTAAATATACAAACCGTAATACTGAATATTTATGGTTCAGAAGGGGAGCCTATAATCAAATGAGACATTGTTGTCACCTCCTAAAGTCTACTAAAGATAAATGTCCAAATATTCTGATAGCATGTCCTTTGAAAATATTCTACACTTTACAGTATGCATCTATAAAATTTAGTTTTTTCTCACATCTTGACACTTCAAGATCAAACTAACTAAACAAAATGAGGTAAGAGATCCAAAAATATTTTCATTTCCTTGCCAGAAAGTTTCTTTAGAATATATTTTCCTATTCCTATTCATTTAATGTGTTCCAAATTTGAGAATCCTAGGTTTTAAAATAATACTGAATAATATGAACTTGAAGGAAAAGTTCTTAGGAATCAACGCAAATATTTTTATCTCCTGAAAGGCAAAAATGCCAACATCTCAATAATGAATGTAATTACTATAATAAAATCCTTGGTTTTTTTCTTAGTGTAAAATCACTGACCATTCTAAAAAATAGCACTAGAATGGCTATACCTTATTCTTAGAAATATACAACATGGTATGTAACTGTAGAGGGGGTGAATTTGGAGGAAAGGAAGTGAAGATCATAGGAAAAGGAAAAATGAGTACTGTTAATCAAATTTTCAGGGGCAAAACCTATCAAGCCCTAAGTCCACAAGCACCCCTCCATCTACACAGACTTCTCCATGGAAAAAAAAGATTAGTTTAAAGGATCCTTCTAAGCTTTATTAACTTTCTGACTGCTAATAAAAATGCTAGACATTTAAACGTGGAAGAGAGGGGGTTGAGAAAGGGAGAGAAAACAGCTGTGTCAAGAAACTCCTTTTTAAAGAGCATCCTGATGGTCAGAGAGATATTTTCCCAAATAAAATATGCCTAACTTTCCATTATTTTCTTTGATAAGCCAGTGTAAGGGAAAAGTTACTACATCTCAGAAGTACAAGTTGCTAAAAATATAAATTAAATAGGATCCTAGCTATAGCAACAACCATTTTGTGGATATTGTGTCGTTAAAAAGCAACTACTTTTCGGGACTCCCTGGTGATGCAAGGGGTTAAGACGCAGCACTATGAGCAGCACTATGAAGCTATCCGCAGCAACTGCAGCACAAGTTTGATCACCGGCCAGGAGCAACCCACAAGGTGCAGCAGACTTCTCCTAACTCGCCCGCTGCTCCCCTCAGCAGTGTATTTCAGTTAATCTGCCTGTTCTGTTCCCCACTCTGTCTCCAGTGAATCCTCTCACCACCACCCCCAAATCTCTGGCCTGTACCCCAGTTCTCGTATGCATAAATAATCTTAAAAAAAAAAAAGCAACTACTTCCCAATAGTAGTCAATAAATCTTCTTGTCAAATGATTTCAGAAGGGAAAAAACTAACTTTCTAGCCCACTGTTGTCATAATTCTACCTGTAAATTTCTTGAATTCATCTAACAAAAGTTTAAAGGTACACAATACGTCAACTATTTTAACATCCTATTGCAGTAATGGAGTCTGATATAATCATATCTATTAATTTTAAGTTAAAAATATCTCTCCCATTAAATTGCACCTAAACTACCAAACCTATTTTCAATGTTACTCAGTGTTACCCATATTTTTTTGTATATTTATCTGGCATCTGCAATTTTGTGGAACTCATTTATTAGTTATTAAGGTTTTTAGGTCGATTTCTCAGCATTTTCTCATCTGAGAATCATGCCATCTGCAAATGGCAACAGGTTTTCTTCCCATACAGTTTTCTTTTTTCTTTCTTTCATTTTGCTATCATGGCTATGGGGCTATTCAACTATGTATTTCATAATGGGTGAGGTATAGTAGCTTATATTTTTAAAGAACTGGCTCACTGCATAAAAGTTGTCAAATTTGGGCCTCCCCTGGTGGCGCAGCGGTTGAGCGCTGGGTTGCGAGGCTGCCCGCAGCCTCTGCAGTGCCAGTTCGATCCCCGGTCACCGGCGAGGGTCCCACCAAAAAAAAAAAAAAAAAAAAAAGTCAAATTTATGTATACAGAGCCATTCCTAGTATTACCTTATCTTTACATGTCTGCAGGGTCTATAAGCAATACCCTTTGTTTATCTCCTGATAGTGGTAATTTGGTTCTTTCATTCCTCCAGGCTGCTAGAAGTAAATTTACTAGCAAAAAGTATTCAAAAGAAGAACGTGCTATTTCATTGATTATCTCTATTTTTTTCTTTTCCAATTTCAGCGATTGTTTTATCTTCCTTTTTGCTTTGGACAAATTCTGCTTTACTTTCTCCATTCCTGAAGCATGCATTCAGTGTTGTAAATATCCCTCCCAGCACAATTTGAAGTGTGTCCCACAAATTTCAGTTATATTCTTTCCAAATTCAAAGTATTCTTATTTCCATTGAGACTCCTTTTACCACTGATTAAAGGTATACTATTTAGTTTTCAAGTGTTTCCAGATTTTCCAGTGATCTTCATCAGATTTGATTCCAATAAGGTCAAAGAACTCATTTCATAAGAATTCAATACTTTTAATTTTGTTGAGGTTTGTTTTTATGGCTCAGGATATAGCCTATGTTAGCATACAGTCTGTGGGGACTTGAAAAGGTGGTCTATTCCACTACTGTTTGTTGGAGAGGCCTATAAATGTCAATTAGACACTTGGCTAATTATGTTGTTCAATGCTATTTCCTTGCTGATTTTCTGCTTGGATGTTCTATCACTCGTTGAGAAACAGGTGCTAAAATTTCCAACAACATTTTATATCTGTTTCTCCACTTAGTTCTATCCGTTTTGGCTTCTTATATTTTGCAGTTTTGTTGTATGACACAAACACATTTAAGATTTCTGTCTTCTTGGATTTATCCTCCCATGCTCATACAATGGCCATTCACTATCTTCACTAATTTTCTTTGCCTTGAGGTCTACTTTATTTGGTAATAAAGTCATTCCTGCTTTCTTTGATTAATTTTTTCTTCCTCTTACTTTCAACCTTCTATATCATGACTGAAGTGAGGTTCTTATGGAAATGACAGAGTTGAGCATCTATTAATTTTTTGCCGATGTCTCCATTTTAACTGGTGTATTTAGATCATTTATGTTTGGGCCTCCTGGGGTGCAAGGGGTAAGATGCAGCACTTGGAAGCTATTCACAGCCACTGCAGTACGAGTTCTATCCCGGCCAGAGATCTGACCACATACACAGCAGACCTCTCCTGTTTTGCCCACTGCTCCCCTCAGCAGTATATTTCAGTCAATCTGCCTGTTCTGCTCCCCACTCTATCTCTGGTGAATCCTCTCACCACCCCCCCATCTCTGGTCTACACCCCAGCTCTTGTATGCACAATTAATCTTTAAAAAAAAGATATTTTATATTTAATATTGTTATGGTATGATGGGGTTTAACATGCCATTTTCTCCTTTTTGTTTTGTCTTTGATTTGTTTTACCTTGCCTTCCTGTGGATTATTTGAAGACTTTTGGAAATTCCATCTTGATTTATCTAGTATTTTCATGCCTTTATATATCTTTCTTAATGGTTGCTCTATGCATTCATATATATTATACATAACTTTTCACCAGTGTCATCAATTTACTTTTCCTTAAAACCATCCTAATATTTTCTCTACATACAATTAGGGACCACATCAATATTGGTAGTTTTAGCTTCAAATATAGTTAAAAACCTCAAAATTGGAAGGGAAAATCTATTGCATTTACCCATACTTTCATATTTCGAATCATTCTTTCCTCCTTCCTGATGTTCCAAGATTCCTTCTTTTTGTTTCCTTTCTTTTTCAGACTTCTTTTAGTCATTCCTTCAGGCTAAGCCTGACAACAACAATTTCCTTAGTTTTCCTTCATCTGCAAAGCCTTGATTTCCCTTAATCTCAAAAGGACTTTTCTTGGATATATGGTTTTGAGCTGAGAGTCATTTTTTTTAGCACTTGAAATATGTCACTTCTTTCTGGTTTCCATGGTTTCTCATAAGAAACCTGACATGAACCGTTTTTTTCCCATCTATATAAAGTGTCATTTCTCCTGTGCTGATTTCAACATTTGTCTTTAGTTTCTGGATGTTTGACTTTGCAGTGTTTTGGTACAGACTTCTATGGGTTTATCTTGTTTATGTTTACATTCTTGAATCTTTGGGTTTGTATGTTCTGCCAAATCTGGGAAATTTTGAGACACTACTTCTTTAAGTACTTTCAAACCACTCTTCCTCCTCCTCTTCTGAGAATTCAACATAATAAGTGTTAAATTTTTGCATAGTCCACAGTTCTCTGAAGCTGTGTGGACTACTGCCAGTTTATTTTCTTTCCACTATTTAGGTTGAGTAATTTCTTTTGTTCTATCTACCAGTTTGCTGATTCTTTCCTCTATGTGCTCTGTTCAGCTGTTGAGCTCACTAAGCTATTCTGTTTGCTAGTTTAATTTTCAGTTCTAAAATTACCATTTGGTTCTTTATATCTCCTATTATATCTGATATGGTTTTCTATTTTTTCATGTTTCATATGCGTCAGATGTCTTCCTTAAAGTGACAGGCTTGCTATTTATTTTGAGAAAATACCTGCCATATTAAGTGTGCATGACCAGATTTTATCAGTTCTCATATAGTTTAGTGTTCTATGAAAAAGGCAGCTAGTTCAGCTTGCTTTCAGTATGCAGAAGTAGTGCTTTATACATTTATCATTTCATTATATGGAATATTAAAAATAGAAGCACTAAATGGATAAATACTTTTTATTGCTTTATCAGGATATTCCTACGTGAACTAATGTTTTCTAAAAGTGCAACTGCATGACAGTAAAGAATTACAATGACCATAGTACAGCATGGTGCTACTGTTATGATTCATAAAGTATCAACAGTTTTACCAATCACTATTGTGGGCCCATCTGTGCAAATGTAAACACAGTGAATAAAATACTGTTTCAGTGTTATTATTTGACATTATGGACTCCCTGAAAGGGCTTTAGGGATTTTCCAGGCCCTTAAGAACCACTGTGAAAACTACTGATTCAATCTAAATATATAAATTTCATCATAGGGAAAAATACAACACTCAAAGAACGTGAAGAGAAACTAACCAGTCCAATACAGCAATAGAACCAGCAAACTATCAATATACTCTACTTGTTAAAAGTATTCTATAACTGTTCCATAATATTCTATATTTTTCTATTGCACACAAAGATGTCCCAATAGTATTCTTTAGAGTGAAAGAAGAAATTCTGGATCATGTGTTGTATTTGTCATTTTTTCTTTAGTGTGCTTTTAATTAAAGAATTCTTCAATCTAGTTATATCTTTCATGATTTTGACACTTAAAAATATGGGGGCAATTATTTGTAGACTGTCCCACAATGTATTTGCCTGATGATTCCTCATATATCGATTCAGATTATATGTCCCTGGTAGAACGCCATAGAGGTGGTGATGTGTTCTTCTGAGATATCAGAAGGCAGATAATACAATTTTTTTTTTCCATTACTGATCATTTAGTTAAGTCTGCCAGGCTTCTCCATTGTAAAGTTACATTTCTCCCTTTGTTTTAATAGCATCTTATGGGGGGATATTTTTAAACTATGTAAAATATCCAAGTTACTACTCAATTTTCACCCACTCATTTTAACATCCATTGATGACTCTTGTCTGAGAAATTACATTATGATGACTGTTTGTAATCACCAGCCTTAAATATTCCTCACCTCCTGGAATTCACAACATAGTATAATCCCGGTCCTTGTGTAATGCTTTTAACTACCAGAATATGGGAACATGAAGGGAATATCACTTCTGTGATTAAGTTACAAAATATACAGGGAAGAAGACACACAAAATATGGTGACATTAATACTGGAACTTTCCAGCTTGCATGTTTGGATGAAGCTCACATAGCAAGAAACTGAAGATGGTCTCCATCATCAGAAAAAAAGGAAGTATAGGGCTGCCCACAAACAATGACAGTGCAAGTGAGTCCTTCCCAGTTAAACCTTCAGATGAGACACAACCCAGACTGACACCTTGATTTCAGCCTTCTGGGTGGTCTCAAAGCAGAGAACCAACTAAATTCACAGAAGCTTGTATGATTTTAAGCAGTTACACTTTGGGGCAATTAGTTATGGACCCGATGTAACTGACAAACTGACATTTTGTAGTTTTCTGACTCCTTCATTCTAGGACATTATTTGGCTTTCTCCCATAAGGAAACAGGCTTTCCTCTTGTCTGTTTCTATATTTATAGATTTCAATGTGGATGCATGGATTTTATTTCAGTGGTTTCCAGTGCTTTACCATCATTATCTAATCCGATACCTCATGTTTGGTGGGTGGAGCCTCCCTCCCTGCCTGTAGGGGCCCATGTCCTGAACGGGCCCCAGCTCTGGGGGCCTCCTTCCCCTTCTGGCCACACCATGTCCCAACCTCAGCATACTTTCCCTGCTCCTTCCTAAAATCAGCAGTTCCCCAGGAGCCTTATATCCTTCTAGTAGAGAATGGTTAACAGTCTCTTTTGATGAAGAAAAGTTCTTAACTTCTAGTAATCTATTTATTTATCTTTTTATTTACACGAAGATTAATCCTTAACACCTAATTACAACTTTCCTGATCTGCCTGAACAAAATGTTATACTATGTGAATTTGTATCAGTTTGCTTATTTTATTAATATACTGAAGTATTTTTCTGAGAGAAAAGAGGGCAGAGCCTGCTATTTATGGAGTCTTTGGTGAAGAACAGGGGACCTGTCATGCATATACAATGCAATATGCCAGACATGATCAAAGTATTAACACTGCAGACTTTCAGGTCCCAAATAGGTTAGCTTGAAACTAAACATTTCTGGAGATCCATGTAGACGCAACCAGCAACTAAAGAACTTGGGATCAGGGTAAAGACCAT